GGTATTTCAACTCGGCACCCAAGCAAGCTCCGGTGCCAAAATTTTGCGAGTGGGTTCCCCGGCCAATTGCCACCCTAGGACCGCGATACCAACCCTCAGGCACATCTAGGCCCTGCGTACGAGCGCCTCAAAGTTTTGGCGGGAAGATAGCTAATTCGAGAACCAGAAAAGCTAGAAAGCTGAAACTTTGGGATTATGTTTCCAGTCCAATTAGAGCTCAAAGATTTCATATTTAGCCCCCGGGGGTTCGTGGTTCCCGCGTACGGCCTCCTGAGGGTTCCTGGCGCGAAAACCGCTAGCTCGGAAACCAAGAAAGCTGAGAGGCTGAAAGTTTCAGGAAATGTTCCCAACTCATCTACGACTTCAATTTATCAAATTCAGCCCTCCGCCCTGCGCGGTTGTCACGTACGGCCCCGTGAAAATTTTTGGCGGGAAAATGAATAACTCCAGAACTAGGGAAGCTGGGAGGCTGAAACTTTCAGGAAATGTTCTCAACTCATCTACAACTTGAATTTATCAAATTCAACTCCCCGTTATGCGTGCTAGCTGCGCACGGCCCCGTGAAATTTTTTAGCTGCAATTTCGGTAACTCGGGAACTGAGAAGGCTGGGAACCTGGGAATTCAAGGAAATGTTACCTGTCCAACTACTGCGTGGATATTAAGTTCCCGAAATTCGAGGACCAGTATGTGCAAGAGGTTTCTAGCTAGCGGAACTTCGAGTGATCTTATTACAGCACGAAACACTGCAAAAACGCATGATCGCACGGGGCCCCCCAGTGCGCGTCGCCAATGATTCTCTTTGCTAATTCTATATCGAATATTTTTGCATAAAAAATGCATTATAATTTCAAAACTACTACCAATGTCGAATGTTTGCAGCTGCAAAAGCATGTCATGTTTGAAAATGAAGAAAAAAAGGAAGGACAACGTAAATGTCTTGGCACACTTTTTTACACAAGGTTTTTTAGCCAAATCATGTTTGTCCCTCATTTTTTGAGGCCAAAAGATGCGATACTCACTTACTGTTTCTCCTCCAGCATTTGCATTCCATTACTTATAACCCCGAGAATAGCAAGACTTCCAGAAAATTTTGGTGTAATTATCCTTTGCTAACGGTATTACTTGAATGTTCCCACTCGCCGTGTACAGCTATGCCAAACCCTTCTACCCTGGGCTGTCTTAAAATCTCTGCAAACCTCAGCAGGTTCTTGACGGCCAGTTTTTAGCTTTTAAAAATTTGTCGCCATATTATGTACAACATTCGTTGCTTTGTTTGCTTCCATTGATATTCCATTGCTTGTTTTTTCTTGTTGTACTTTTATTGTAGTATTCCCAAAGCTTTTCCGAAAATCGGAGTCCATCGGATAGAACAGAATACAGTTGAAATGCGAAGCGACGACACCTCGTGTTTTTTGTTCTTGCTTGTAGTGAATAGAATGATGAAAGAGCCTCAATCTCCGCACCTGCATAGAGCATTTGCATCGAGTTTGCTAGAGTCCAATTTTGTAAATCCTAAACGTTTCGTTTCGAGGAGCTAAAATCGGTCCAAATTTTCTTCCTGGTTTTTTCAGTCTTAAATTTAACGAGCAAACATAAATTAAAAAGAATCTCAGAAAATCAATGAATCAATTCTAGCAAGGTGAAGCGCGCCGCACTTTTTCGTAATTTTGCCACTACAGATTAGTAGAATTTATAGGCGAGTGGCTCATCATAGATTATGGCTACACTGAAACGCATGCAGTAGCACCACTGGTCGACGTTCTTTGTGGGGTACCACTCACCAATTCTCTCATACCATCTTCAGTGATACCATCCACCGATGTCTGCAGTTTCGTCCGTAATGACTCCACTGGCCTTATTCTCAATTCCTCTACATCTCACCAGAATTCGGCTACGCTGCTACGAGACCTTGTACTGTCATTGGAAAATGATGCATCGCTTTTTATGCAGATAGTACTATGACAGCAAATACCTAACGTCTGCTGATGCAAGCATGCGACATATACATCAAATAAGACTGGCTGAAGGTCATTCTTTTGTACTGGCTGGCAAGTACTCAGCGATCTCGGCGGCAATTTGCAGAGATCACCAAGATTGCTCGGATTACCGGCATGCACCTGGTAAAGCTGTTTTTGTACAAGAATTGAGTGTATCTGCCACTTCAGGTCTCCAACACTCGATGCCTCGCATCACCGAATTGCATCTTATTAGGTGATTTGGGGATTTTGCTTGTTGGCATATGCTGGTGTTGAACAGCTATTAACGAGTCGGATGCATTTTGCTTTTCTGACAGTCACTGTTATGTCCATTTTGTACTAATTTTGGCCGTACCTTTCGTTTTCTAGTGGCTCCTAAAACATATTTTTATTTCTTTACTCAAAGAATCTCTCCGTCGCCGATTAAGAAGCAGTGAGCAGTAATGCTGCAATCACGTGAAAGTGAAAATTTAGACTCCACCAGTGAGACAAGCAATCTTTGTACGATTCGTTGATTCTTTTCGGTGGTAAACTGGTGCTGGCATATGCCAGAGAGTCAAACCTGCCATCAGCTTGCGCGCAAGCTGTATTCGTAGGAGGAGGCTATCGAGAGCCTCAACAGTTGGGGTTTATTGATGGCAACTAACTGCTGCTACTTGGATTTTTTTTCCGAGCGCACAGAGGGATGAATGCAAAAAGGTTTCCATTTTATAACTTTGAGGCAGCTCTCTCACGGCCACTATTCTGTAATTTTAGTGTCTGCGATTGACAACGTTGCATTTTAGTGTTTGCGATTAACAACGTTACATTTTAGCGTTTGCAATTGATAACGCTGCATTTTAGCGTTTGCGATTGACAACTTTGCCGAAAAAGCACGGTAGTAACGCCGTAGCAAAATTTGCTCCAATTTTTATTTTTATTTAGGAAGCCTTCCAACAAATGAAAGTAACTGTGCACTCGTTGCTCAATGAGCAGCCAATCGTTACTGAGGCAATAAGGACGCTTGTCGGCTCTCTGAGGGATGTTCTGAGTAGGAAAAACCTGTCCAGAAGGCGCAAATTGAAACAAGCTGCGGATATAATTTACATTCTTAAACGCACTCTCATACACCATGAATTAAAATGGAGTAGAGGCGAAATCATAGCAGCGAACGCAGGAGCAGGTCAGTATCCATTCCGATACCACAGCGAAATGGCTTTGAGTTTAGTGCCACCAGCACATCCTTTCTAGTCACAAATAAGCTTTATACTTTCTGCTTGAAAGGTAGAAGAACTTTGAGAATCTCGTCCTTCAACTTCATCTGATAGAACTCGGCTTCCTCATTTTTTTTTTTTTCAACTTTATTTAATAATTTATATTAACGGTAGCGATTTTAACGTTTTCTTTTATATACTGACGAACTGTCTGGCTTTCTAGCAGTCGGTTGTAAGAAATAAAAATTTCGTGGCCGGAGAAATGTTCTACAACGTTCAACGACCAACGTTACATATTTATTTAATTTCAGTACAACGCGAAATATGTCTTTCGACCAGGATAGCAATAGAGCACTTATATCAAAACGGACTTGATGTAGAAGCAGCAAGTTTGTTCTTTCAAACTCTATTTATTGCACAAATTCTCTTGGAATTCCACCATCCGTTGCGCTTCCCGGCCTTCCTCGTTTCATAGAGTCCGCCGCAATTAAATCAAACTATGCTGGGAGCGAGAAAGGCCAGCCAACGCTGATCAAGATAGATAGAAGGAAAAAAATAAGTGTGTAGTACATTGTAAGCTTTGCAAGCTTCTCAAAAACAATTGTACATTGTAAGCTTTGTTGTTGCAAGCTTCTCAATAGGTCTATATTAGAGCAATTTGCAGCAGCAGACCTCTCACGCTAGAATTAATTGCAGATGCAGCTCTACGTACATGCGAACACCAAAAAGGGCAAAAATCTCCCCTGTATCCACTCTTACTGAAGGGCAGAGGTATTCGGGAAGTAGTCCATGTGTAGTGGATGCCAAGAACAACTACCCACCGACGCAACTACCCAAATGGTTTGCTCTTTCGAAGGTTACTTACAAACAAGCTGAGGGCGAGTTTGATTTCTTGATATGCGCCAGTACCAATTCATCATCGAAAAGTCTGAAATGATTCATAAAAGGACTGGTTGTCACACCGGTGGAGTGGAATCTCATTCGGAAAAACGTCCAATTAGTAACAAAAGCCATCAATAAGCTCCGGCTGGTAAGGCTTGCAAATCAGCTGACGGCAGGTCTGGCTCCGTACCAGAATCAGTTCATCACCGAAAAGAACGAACGAATCACGCAAAGATTGTCTGTGGAGTCGAAC